CTTGTGGCTGGGGGCGATTAGAAGTGTGGGGGACCCTGCCGCCCACCAGAGCCCGAGGCATGAGAGTAGCGGCCAAGGTCACTGGGCTTGATACCCACCAAGACCCCTCTGGTCTCCTTTGATCAGTTCAGTGTCTCCAAGCCGGGCTTCATGCTGCCACTTCTGTGTCCCTCCCAGGGCCCAGGGCCCCCAAGGGTCCCCAGCAAATATGCCACATGCAGCTCAGGCAGGCAGCTGGGACGATAAAAGCAGGACCCCTGGCACGGCGCAGGCCTCGCCATTCACACACACAGGCACGCACAGCGTCTGTGCCATCTGCAGGGAAGTGCTCTCCTGGGCCCATTCCTTGGGCAGCCATCCCCATCGTCACCGACACCACACTCCCATCGTCGCGCCCTGGGGAGGGGGCGCCTGGCCCGAGGCTCCAGGAGGGATGGCGAGCCAGCACGGAGCCTTGGAAGATTCCCCCATGTGCGCACCGAGTCCAGACACTCCCTCCTTCCCTCTGGCACCCCAAGTTCCGGACACATGCCTGGCACAGGGACAGGCCCTAGGGACGCAGCGATGGCCAGGCACAGGGGGGTGATAACAGCATCACCATGGGGACTAACATCGAGGACGCCTAGGCACCGGAGAAGGCAAAGGGAGCAGCATTTACCCCTGCCTGGGCAGCACCAGGAAGGCCACCCAGAGGTGGTGGCGCCTGAGGAAACCTGGCTGGCGAGTGGAGGTCCATCACGTCCCAGCAGCAGGACGGAACTGCACAGGCTGCGAGGCAGGGACACCCTCTCACACTTAGGGAGCTGCAAGGAGACCCGTGTGGACAGAGTGGGGCAAGTGAGGGGCTAGCGGGCAGGGGTGAGGTCTGAGAGCAGCAGGGGCGGGATGCAAACGGCCACTGGCAGTGCTACTCACGAGTGCTGGCTTCTACCCTGCCCGGGTGGAGGGGCTGGAGCAAACTGCGAGCAGGAACCCTCCCCTCACCGCCCCCCTGCCCCAGAAGGCTGTGATGAGGAAGGGCAGGGCAGCGTCAGGGCAACCACAGAGAAATGAGCAAGCTGCTGGGATAATTCGGGCTTGGACCATGGCAGTAGGACAGAGAGGAGTGAGAAGATTCCAGAACGATTCTGAAGGTGGAGCCAACAGGATTTCCTTATTGACGGACGTGAGGTCAGGGAGAAGGAGAGGCATCGAGGATGGGCCCGAGCCTTTGACCTGAGCACCCAGAAGGAGGGAGCACAGCCGGGATAGGAGAGGCCGGCAGGGAGGAGGGTGTTCAGGGAGACAGGAGTTCACCGGAGCAGCAGCCCAGGCAGGAAACAATAAAGCCAGGAGTTGTCAGCATGCAGGTGGCATCTAAGCCACGGGGCTAGACGCGACCACCAGGGGTGAGAACGAGGGGAAGAGACACAAGCTGAACCCCTGGGACCTCCGATGAGAAGAGGCGGGGGAGGTGTGGAGGAACCAGCAAAGCGGCTGAGACGGGGACAGTGGTGTCCTGGAGGAGAAAAAGATCAACCGCTGGAAGGCCACAGGTCTGGGGAGGGACGAGGGGATTTAGCGACACAGAGGTCATTGGTGATGCCAACACGAGCCATGCTGGTGCAGGGTCTGGAGCAGAGTCACAGGGTGGGCAGGAGACGGCACCCCGGCAGCCCCTGTCCTCATCCTCAAGGAGCCCTGTGGCCATTCACTGCTGGTAGCCTGGGCCACGGTGCGGGTGCTGCCAACCAGCGTGACCAGGGACTGGGCCATCGGTCTGCCCCGTGCTGCCCCGCCCGGCCCAGGCTCTGCTGCCAAGCACTGACGTTCACGACTGGCGCAGGACACGCAGGGACAAGGGGCCCTGTCTGGGGAAGCGGGGCGATGTCCACAGCCCGAGAGAAGGCAGAGCTACTTAATGACTTCATTCGGCTTCTGTCTTCTCCGGCTGGGAGACGGTCTTCAACAAACAACATCGCACAGAGGGAGCTGGAGCCCAAGAGAGGTGAGGAGACAGTCATGGGACATGCAGCCACTGCAAGGGATGCCAGGTGGCCACGCTGTGCCCTCCCGTTCGCCCCCAAGCCACTGGCCCCTGGCTGAGAATTGAGGCAAGAGCAGAAAAAGTGGAAAGGCCCAGAAGGTTGGGGTGGGTACCAGTCCCAATCCTTAACCCAGGAGAGCACATTCACCGGAACTATGGACAGAGAGAGCCTCCAATTCCTTCAACTCTGCCTCCAATTCTTAAACAGAATTTTAAAAATGAATTAATACATAAAAACACTCAGGACACTGCTTTGAACATTCAATAAACGCTGTTGTTACAATAATACACATTATAGGTATGGTATATCATATGTATTATTTTTATTGTTCTGTAAGGCTCCAACAGTGAGAATTAGACCCAGTGGGCAGTTCCAGGGAGGCAGGCTTCCACACTAATATTAGGAAGAATGTTTTATTCCTGCAACTGTCCCACAGCCCAGAAGTCAGCTGCCTGTCAGATCACGAGCTCCCCGTCGCTGGGTGTCCAAGCAGCAGCTGGATAATGAGCCCTGGCGCTGGACGTCTGAGACATCAGCCCTCCCCCTCTCCCTGCAGGCTGGTGGGAGGCCGGCCCCCCAGGAGCCTGCCACGTCCGCGAGAATCCGCGTCCACCCTCTGAGTGGTCCAGGGCCACGTGGGTGCAGCACCCAGAGGACGGTTCTGGGCCTGTCTCATCCAGGGTGCCCAGACCAAAGCCCGCCAGGCCCATCTTTCTGATGCCCTCTCACTGGCGAGATGGGGAGGTAGGCACCCAGAGAGGTGCAGTGCTGTGCCCAGGGTCACACAGCCGTGCTGCCCCATCCTGGTGTAATAGAAGAGAGCAGGCTGCACGGGTGCTGGGCCGGCTCCGCACTCACCCCCCCCAGGCAGATGAGTACGGTTGTCTTCCAGCTCACTGAGCCCCTCTCAATCCTACAGGGCCCCCTGGAGCCAGGGATCAATCCCCACCGCACTAGACAGACGCCCCCGCTGTGACTGCCAAGTGGAGCCTTAACAGCGCTCAGTCCTGGGAGTTGCTCCCGGAGGCCGATCGATGCAGCGTTTGCAAAAGACAATGAGGAGCCAGAGCCAAAGGCAACGGAGCAGGGCCTGCTGGCGGCTGACTGGGTGGGCGTCCAGCCTGACCCGCCGTGCCAGCACTGGCCGAGCTGTGTCTGCTCCTCCCAGCCCACCTATCTCCCTCCCTGCACCACAGGCCTCCGGGGACCCCACACTCAGGGCTGAGCATGCGATCTCAGGTCGGGGACAGAACCTGAAGCACCTTGAGAGGGGCCCTCGCCTCCCCCAGCCTGCACCAGGGCCAGTTAGTGGCTGGCTGTGCCTGTGCCTCAGTGGCCCTCCTGCTCCAAATACATTCCCTCTGCCACAAAGGAGTCTCCCAAAGAATGAAGTTATTAACATGACACCAACGGCGATAAGCTCTGCTAATGGCGCACTCATTTGCCTATACACATGTACTGGGTGCCCGCTCTGCCGGCTCTGTGCCCGCCCCATGCCGGGTCTGGGTGGGCAGGGAGCCACAGATGAATTCCACTGAAAGAGCACAGCTGTGTCACAAGTCCAGTAGCCTACAAACATACCCAGACCCAGTACAGAGGGGAGCATGCAGCTCAGCAGGGTCCCCAAGGGACCTTCAGGTACACTCTCTACCTCCAGGGGCTCGAGCTCACCTTTGGAGGGGCATCCTACACAGGCAGGCACCTCTTTCCCAGATGGCCCCTCAGCACCCACATCCCCAGACCCCAACCAAAGTCCAGCCCTGCAACGCTGACCTGTTGCCAAAAGCACTGCCACTTTCCACCGAGGGCCCCCAAAGACCCCAGAAACAAAGTGCTGCTGGGCCACAGGGACAACCCCCACAATAGTGAGACCACGCCCACTGCACCCAGCAACCCCCTGCACAAAGCATCCATCAGAGTGAAAGGGGCTGCTCACACCCCCACAAGCACCAGGAGACAGTCTGGGTCCCCTAAGGTGCCCCCCTTCAGCAGAGACCTTCTTTGAAGAATTGTGCACGCCCTCCACCACGCGCCTGCACTTGGTTTTATGTGAAGGAGTGTTTTAAATGACTTCATAGGTAAATATCTTAATCCCTCTCCCCACTGCAAGCCGTCCCATCTCATTTTCAAGCACAAATGATGCTCCAAAAGCATGTACCACACTGAGCCCTGATGTGCACAGCCCCTGCCTCTGTCCCCGCAGGGCAGGCAGACCCAAGTGCAAGAAGCCCCAGAGGACAGGCACTTTCCCTAAAGTGACATCCAGGAGAATAGGAGGACAAGGAGGGCTGTCAGTGGAAGGGGGCGGGCCCCCTGCATGCTCACAGGGGCCCTCCCACCAGCACAGCTGCAGGCGGGTGCCTGCAATTCACTCCCCCTTCCTGAGAGGCCTCTGGGTCCCCAGAGCCGAGCTAGTGCCATGGGGTCCTTCGGCTCACCGGGCCTCCTCTCTGCAGATCTCCAGTGGCAGGTGTAGCAGCCAGGCCCTCGGCAGGACCACCCTGGCGCTCGGCTGGGTGACGGGGCAACTCCAGCCGAGCACTAGGATGCTCGTCATCACCTCCTAAATGGCAAATTTTTTCCCAATGGCAAAACCAGGCATACTCAACACCGAAAATTTAGCAATCACAGAAAAGCACAAAAAGCCACAAAATAAACTCTACACTAGCTGCAGTCTTCAAATATCCGCAAAGGCTTCCAGTGGAAGAGGAATCCAATCTAGCGCCAGCCGTGGAAGTCAAGCCCCTGGGGCTCACTGTGCTCAACCGCTGGACGTTCAGAACTCCCCTGTGTTGGGGTGGGCCGCGCAGGAAGTACTGAGTGTCCCGTCCCCAGAGGGACCCCAGATGAACGCCGTGGAAGAGATTCCAATAACAGGTGGAAGATGGTCTCAACCTCTCAGACCCCCTTCACTTGCAGGAAGGGAGGCCACCCCATGCCACCCGGCACGCCCACCAGCCGGCGCCCACTCACCCACGGGCGTGTCCTCGCTGATCAGCAGGTATGTGTCAAAGAAGTGGTTGGTGAAGAAGGGCAGCCGGTTCACCTGGCCTGGAAGTCAGAGGACAAGAGCGTCAGCCACGCACCCCCACAACAGCTTCACGTGCTCTGTAAGGTCACTTCCCCGCACCCCGAAGGCCACTGTCCTGCCTCGAGGCACATGGCAGAGAATGCCAGAGGGCAGTGGGCAGGCAGCAGTCAGGTGGCGTGGCCAGCGAGGCCCCCAGCCACGTGCCCAGACAGCAGTCCACGCGGGCAGTGCTCTGAGTGCAAACTACACACAGCATTTCAAACACTTTGTGCAAAGAAAAATTAGTGTAAAATAGCTCGTTAATCGTTTATATTGATTACATGTTGAAGTGATACTATTTTGGATATACTGGATCAAGTCAAGTATATTATTAAAATACATTTCACCTGGTTTTTTTTTTTTTTTTTTTTACTTTTCTAATGTGGCTCCCAGAAAAATTAAAATTACACATATGGCTTATGCTGTGTTTCTTTATCTTATCTTTTCTTTTTTTGTTGTTGTTTCTTGAGACATCCATTTATTTTCTGAATAATAACTTGCCAAAAGGAAAAGGAAAATACAAATGTATGCAACGTGATGCAATAAAAATACAATTAGTCCTGGCACAGAAGTTTCTGTTTAGTTATGACCATATCAGGTCTGTCGTCCGAGCTGGAGTCAGTGGTGTTATCATAGCTCACTGCAACCTCAAACTCCTACAACCTCAAACTCCTCGCTCAAGTGACCCTCCTGCCTCAGCCTCCCGAGTAGCTGGGACTACAGGCATGCGCCACCATGCCCGGCTAATTTTTTTATATATATGGTAGATATGGAGTCTTGCTATGTTGCCCAGGCTGGTCTAGAACTTGTAGCCTCACATAATGTTCCCACCTTGGCCTCCCAAGGTGCTGTGGTTATAGATGTGAGCCACTGCGCCCAGCCCTGTGCTGTATTGGCTCTAGATAGAACATGAGCTCTGCTAGGACAAGGGCTTGGTTGTCCATGGTGGCCCCGTGCCCAGCACAGGCCCTGGCACTAGAAGGCCCACAATACACTCGTTACGTGAAAGAACGGCCGGCTGATCCCACAGAACTTGTGATAATAGCAGTGACAATAACAGCTGCTATCTATGGGCCCCCTTCTCTGTACCAGCTGCCTAGACCACCTCACTCAGTCCTGACGGGAAGGCAGGTGCTGTCACCTCCCCATCCCACCAGGGAAAAGGAGGACTTCAAGGGACAAGTAAGTTGCCTCACTCGCTTGCTCACACAGCTGGCCAGCGGCACGGGCCCAGACCCCAAACTTGTTCTGTTAACTGTATGCCACGCCGGTGGCCTTGGAGAGGGGGCTGGCTGTGGCAGGGGTCAGGGTGATGCCTGCATGGCTGAGGAGCCCCCACGCCACAGTTCTCCCCACAAAGCCTCCCCCAGGCCGGCTCTGCCTGCCCCCACGCTCCTCCGGGGCCTTCTGCAGGCCAGTGAGGGTGCGGCCCCTGCAGTCCCTGCCCACGGGGAGGGAGCTGGTCTGGCTCCCAGTGGGGCCCACAGTGTGCAGCACTTGCCATGAAGGCTCCTGCTGTGCCCGCCAGGGTCCCTGAGCGTGGGCCAGGCAGGGGGCAGCTCCCTTCCCTGGCTTCTGCTCTCCGGGGCTCCCTTAGCACTTCTCTCTCAGCACTTGCGCCAGGAGGCTCGGATCAGGGTGGGGCACTTCCTCCTCCAGCCCCAGATGCCTCCTACTCGGGCCAGGCGGAGCTAGGAGACTGGCATCTTTTCTCTCTGCTCCAACCCACTCAGGCAGCCAAGCTGATGCCATTTCTGGTCCCTCACCCTGGCCTCGCTCTCTCTCTTCCTGGCCAGGGCTGCTGACCCATCACTTGTCAAACTCCTATTCATCCTTCAAATCTCCTTGTAGATGTCCCTTCCTCCAGGAAGCCCTCCCTGACCACCACAAATACCCATGTGCACCTGCACACACACCTCCACCCTCTCATGCCAGGAACACAACAGCCTCAGAAAGAGGCTGCCGGCCAAGGGCCTCGCCTGTTTGGAGACCTCCCTGTGCCTCTTTTAGCCCCGTGATCATCCCATGTCTCAGTTTACCCAGGTGTAAAACAGGAATAATAATAATAGGACTTCCTTCGTGGCTAACCTGAGGATTAAGTGAGATTACACACATAAAGCGCTCAGCACCGGGCCCCTGGCGCACACCCAAGCGCTCGATAAATCGTAGCTACTATTAACACTGGTATTAATAAAGGCGCCGCCCTCACAGCCAAAGGGGAAGGTTTCTGATCCCTGTTGGGGACCTTGGGCTCCGTCTCCAGAAAAGCAGGAAGCTGTGGAGCAGGGTACAGGTGCCCAGAGAAGTCAGCAGCAGGCTGGGCTGCTGGGGGTGGGAAACCAGTGACAAAAAAAAAAAAAAACTGCCTGCAGTGGCATCACTCAGTTTTAGATTTTATTTTATGGGACCTGCCGATAATCAGCCGCCGAGAGCCGTGCACGGGCAGCTGGGCAGAGACATGCGTCGCCTGCCACATACCAAGCAGGACTGCGTCCCCAGAGCAGGCCCGCCGCCCTGGAAGCCGGCGGCCACCTGGGACTGGGAGGGACAGACAGGTGACTGCTTCTCTCAGCAACCACTCTTAAAGCAGGACAGCTGCGTGCTCCTGAGACCTCCCAGGAAGTGGGGGCATGAGCAGATGCAGAAGGGACAGTGACAGTGGCTGGTTTCTGGGGGAGGAGACTCCCAGCTTCCCGAGCCCATGGTCACCCCCTCTGTCCTGGCACACACAGCTCACCCCGCCACAGGTCTGCAGCACCAGGCTCTGCCCCAGCCCTCCCCCCGCCCGCCCGGACACCCACAAAGGTAGACAGGCAGTGGGCCGCCAGCTTTCGCCATTTCCAACACCCTGCAGGCCCAAGGGGAGAACGGAGAGGGGGAGGCTCAGAGAGGGTGTACACTTGAGCCACTGCAGCCCAGGGACAAGGATTTCCACACACCGGGCAAGGAAGGGACAAAGGCTGGGCATGGGGTGCAGGGGACCTGACCCGGAACCCCCAGGCATGGGGGAGCACAAACTTCACTCAGAACCAGGGGCTGGGGGTTCTACTGAGGGCCTGAAGAACACTGGATTTGAGCCGAGCTAGGCTGAATCCAAGCCCAGGCCTGCCCCACCAGGCCGGGCATGGCGATGTGGGCAGAGGGCACAAGTGGCTCACGCTGAGACCCACGCTGGGGAGAAGGTCAGAGTCCTCCCCGCACCGACCTCTCCTCCAAGGCAAGGAAGGAGCACTGGACGGGGCACAGGGACGCTTTCGAGGAGTCAGCGGCCTTGCATGCTCTGCCACTCGCTGCTGGGGACCCTGGGGCAGATCCCTCTACCTCTCTGGGACAGGTTTCCCAACCTCGGGACAGAGACAAAAAGCCCTGCCCTGCAGCCTCCCTGCCAGAGGCATCCCGTGCACCGTGGTCACTGATGTGGTGGCTCTGGGTGGCCCACAGGAGCTGCAGGGACATGCTGACGTCAGGTGGGGAAGCTGGGCAGCCCCACAGTCAGGGGTCCCTCATGCCCAGCGCCCAGGACCACCCATCTGACCCGGCGGGACGGTCCCTGGCTGGCCAGGCCAGGATGGGGAGGGCGGGCCTGCTCGGGCCTTGGCCTCCTGCCTCCCCGGCAAGCCCACAGATGAAGAATGACACGTGCCCAGAGCACACGGAGGCCAGAGGGGAGAGGGCGGGGGAAGGACAGGAGGCTTTGCAGGGAGGTGACAGACTGACAAGGGGTTTTGACATTGGGCGGTTTTCCCTAAGCCTGACCCATCTCTGATTGCGGGGATGGGAGGAGAGTCCAGTGGGGAGACAGGGCCAGGTAGAAACAAAATGGGGGACAAGGGAAGGGCTAGGTCAGGGGCAGGTGTCCAGAGGGCGGCATGGGAAGGTGGTGTCGTCAACCACTCACCCGCCAGTCCCTACGGTCAGCCACTGCCCCACCATGCTAAAGCAATAGCACTGGCCACTTCAGATGGGGACCAGGGAGAGGTGACTGTGCCCAGCAAGGAGAGAGGGGAGGACCCTCGAATGCATGACAAAGCAGGCTAGCCCACTGCAGGCGGATCACCCGTGTTTTGCCACAAAATTGCTGGGTGGCCCTGGGCAACTTGCTTAGCTTCTCCGTTTCTGTGCCCCATTTTGCTCCCCCTGGAGAAAGATCACTGCTGATATAAAAGAGCTAACACTTACCAAGCACCTACAAGGTGCCAGGCACGATTCTAAGTGCTTAACGTACATATTAATTCATTTGACCGTTTTGACACCCCAAGAAGGAAAGTCTATTATTGTTCCTATTTTAGAAATAAGGACCAGGCAGGGAATATAAATGAGGGAGATGCTGGGTGGGTGGGGACGACTGAACCAGAGAGGTCAGGACACTTGCCCAAGGGAGCCCCCTGGAAGAAGGGGGACCGGAACCCGGAGGCTGGGTCTGCGCCCCTCTCTTAGGCCCGCATTGAATGCCTGATCCACGTTTCACCTGGACAGCTCAGGGGGAGACTGCCGTGTCCCGCCAAGCAAGGCAGCCAAGGCCTTAGCGCCTGCTGTTTTTCTACATATGTATTGCATGTTAACAGAGTGGGGGGAGGGCATGAGCGTCCAAGGTCACAGGGTCCCCGGGAAGACTGAGGAAAGTGCAGTGACTTCTGCTGTCCAGCAAACCCAGAGGGCAGAGCTGCCCCTCCCCGCCCTATGTGGGAAGCCTCATTCAGGGGCAGGTGTGGGGTGGCATCCTGACTACAGCCCCCGAGGAGGATCAGAGACTCCTGCATGCTACAGCCTCGGGACAGCTGCTCCTCCAGGGTTCAGTTCCTCCTCTGGGAAAATGTGCCAGGAGTTGAGAAAGAGTCTGAGACTCCTTCCCATTCTGCCTCTGAGACTCTTTGAGACTGTGCTGTGCTCCTGGGCTGCCTGGATGGGAGTGAGCTTCCTGTCACGGGAGGCATTCAAGTAGGGATCTCTCCAAAAATGGAGGCAAGGAGAGGAGACCTTCAGGAGACTCAGGCTGCAGGATGCCAGAGATACTATCACAAGCACAAGGCTGCAGCTTCCTCCAGAGATTCCAGCTGGCTCCCTGGAGCAGGAGAAGGCGCTGGCCCCCCACAGGAATGTATTTGCCTGTGTCGCCAGGCACGCCAGGCCCACAGCTCTTCCCCAGAGCCTCCCTGGCCCTGGGGGACACCATGCCAGGCACGCCTGCTGTCCTGGCCTCCCTCGGCACAGCCCAGAGCTGCTCTACTCCCCACGACCCGCAGTCTAGGGCCAAGAGACAGCCAAATGCCAGGCCTTTCCTGGCCTCCTCCGTGGGCCCCAGAGTTGGCACTCTGGGCTGGCTGCTGTGAGGCCAGGGGAGGGGGCTGGTCCCCTGCAGAGAGGAAGGCTCCTGGCTGCCGCCACTTTGCCCACGATGAGCTTCCACCAGGATGCCCTTCCTCCCTCTCCCCTAATCTGCAACTACTCCTCAGGTCAGTCGTCCAAGCCCGGGTCAAAGTCTCACCCTTCTGGCCGGGTTCCTCCTGTCCCCGCAGCCCAATTACTCTTTTCTTCTGAAGGACACCTCTGGAGCCACGGCCCCCTCCATTCCCACTCTTACAGCAAATCCTGGCTGTGCCCCCCTCCCCCGGCCTCTAAACTCCTTGAGAACGAGCCATTTCCTACAGCCCCCGGGGCTGGGCACAGGAGGCACACCCAGCGCCACACAGTAGGCGCTCAGGAGACAGCTGTGAAACCGAACAGAACAGTGGCCGGTCCCTCACCCCAGGAGGAGGGCAGGTCACGGTCACGTGTGCTCCCTCCCTTAGAACCCAGGTGTTTGTCAAGGCTCCTCCCATCGCTGCCCTGCGCCCAGGCCTGGGGACAGCTGGTATTTTCAGCCCTGTGAGAGCTGCAGAAGGCGACCGAGGCCCCTAGAGAGAAGTGTGAGCCTCCGCCACACAGCAAGGCAGGACTCCGGAGTCCCGGGGCACAGCGGAACTCTGGCCCCGACGCCCTCCAGCCTGGCCTCCCGTGCAGGGGCTGGCTGCCTGGCAGAGGAGCAGAGGGGAGGACTTACCCCAGCATCCGGAGATCAGCACAAAAAGCCAGACCACGTGGCAGCTGGTGGCAACGTGGCACCTCATGGCTCCTGCAGAGACAAGGAGAAGAGAGTAAGAAGCCTCCTCCGTGGGGGGCTGCTTTTCAGCCCCTCCGGCACCCCCACCCCAGCCCTGCAGCCCCAGGGAGAACAGGGCCAGGAAGGAGGAGACGGAATCAATTCAAACGGGGGAGGGGAGGGGACACGGCAAAGAAGAGATGGTCTGTATCATTTGGTTTTGTCATCGTCCAATCCTGGGTATGAGTAACCGGGCAGGGGGCGGGGCCCACAGGGACATCTTGGCCCTGGCGGGGACCGGCCACCATGTTTGGGGAACTCTGTCTGCAAAGCTCAGTGGCAGGCATGGAGCGTGCACTGGTGACAAATTCCAGGCTCAGTGGATGGAGGGAGGGGCTGCTGCCTGCAGCCCCCAGGAACAGATACGCCAAGAGTGGCAGAGCCTGGTTAGCCTGGGGACACATCAAGGAGACGGGTGCTGATGGGAAGACAGGGGTCTGAGAGTGGGCTGGCAAGTCCAACACGCCCACCACGATGTGACCAATGAGCATATCTTTCCCTGTGCTTTTTAAACATCCACCATATTATCTCACAACCTTGGAGATGAAAGGAGGCAGCGGGTCATGGTATCCAAAGAGGCACAGAGAGGGGAGGTGACCTGCCCAGGACCGCACAGCATCTGTGGGAGGCTGAAGCTGAATCTTGGAGCCACGAGCTAAACTCTACAGAGAGCTGGGGCCCAGATGATGGAGACTCTGCAAGGCCAGGTCCCATCTCTAAGGGTGGCAGGGAGGGGGACTGCTCTCTCCCACCACGGCAGCAGCCCGTCCGGCCCCATTACAGCAGGGCCATGGTCTTCTGGCTCCTTCTTGCTCCTCCAGCAGCTCAGAGCAGGCCTCCCTAGGGCCCAGCAGTGAGCCGGGGGCCTCGCTCACCAGCGGGGAAGCCCAGCCCCCCACAGAACTGTCAGCCCTGTGATCACAGGACAAGCCCACACACACACCCCTCCAGGGAGCAAGTGAGCACCGTGTGCATCTGGCCTGGGGGTGCTCACTCCCTGGTTCAAACGGTGGCATCTGGAGGCTTAGAGCACGTGCATGATTTGCTCAGAGACCCCTGCGGTGAGTGGTGGCGGCACCTGGAGCCAGGTTGATGTACCACCTCCTTGTCAATGAGCCACCAGAAAGGACATGGGGAGGTGGGTGGGACTGGAAGAAAGGACGTTTGGGAGAGACTTGCACGGCTCTGCAAGATCTGGGTCTCAGAGATGGAGACAGGGCCGAGAAAGCTCGGCCCCTTGACTCTGTAGCCGGAGCAGCGTCTCTCCCCATCAGCCCACATCCCGAGTGGACAACGAGGTGACCCCACCCCAGACAGCTCCCAACCCAACCCAACACACAACAGTCCATGACACCCTTTTTGTTTTCCTTCTAATATTGTGCTTAAAAATGTCCCCAAATTACAAAGCGCGAAACAGTCATTTCAAGAAGAGAAATCTCCAAGATGTATCTGAATATAAAGCGCCAAACCCCCATCCCACCCCTGCTCTTCCGCAGCCCCGAGCTTCCAAACATTCACCGCCCAGCTCAGCGGGCAGCAAACCGAGACGCCTACGGGGCCAGGCAGGGAACCACCTGAGAGAGAGGGCTGCCGGGCCGGAGGTGACGGTGGCCATTTGGAGGCCACACGCTCTGTCCCAAAGCGGCAGCTGCTGATGAGTTGTTGTCACCAACAGGGAACGCGGGCCCGGTGGGGCGCTGCTTCTGAGATTCCTCCTCGAAAAACTGCAGACCAGGCTTTTCACGTGAATTCGATTTCCAAATGTTGGCGAGTAATTCGATCTGTAAGGAACGCTTTTTGTGCCAAACGTGGCCTGTCTGGCGGCTAGGACGGGCGGGCTGAGGCTGGCGCACGTCCTACCAGGCCTCTCTCTGCACCCAGGCAAGCATGTTCCCACGCGCACACGCACACTCGTGGAGCCGCCGGCTGCCGTTGACCTTGGGAGTGAAGGAGGCGCCCTCTACACAAAAGCAATTTGCTTTTCTCATGTCACGAAATTCCCCGGATGGCCCTCCAGGGCCAACACTGCTTAGAACCACTTTCTTCTTTCTAAGAGCTAATGGCGGCGCATAGTAGGGTTGTTTCACGATGCTGTCTTCATCTCCTGCTGATGGGCTTTGGATGTTTCCAGATTCCCACCACCACTGACACGCCACCGTGAACATCTCTCTGCACACAACGTGTCGGGGCTTTGCTCTTCGGTGCAGCTCTCTGACAGTGGGGCAGCCGGATGCAACACAGAGCATGTGTGTAAACGTCTACTAGACGCTGCCATACTACCTTCTGGAAAAGGTTGTGGCAACTCGCAGTCCCGCCAGCAGTGAGGGATATGAGAGGGCCTATGTTCCCACCTGGAGGCGATCCCTCTTTTAAATGGCTGCCAATCCGACACATGAAAAATGGTATGGCATTGTTGCTTTAATTTACATTTCCCTAACTACCAGGGAGGTTGAGCGAGATGCCTTTTTTTCTAAACACTCAAACCATTTCCATCTGTTACCTTGCATTATCCTGTCCCATCCTGCAAAGAAGCTAGCCACCAGCACCAGCATTATCCCTGATTTACAAGTGGAGAAACCGAGGCACAGTGCAATTAAGTGACAATCTGACACCTCATAGTGAGTATCTTTGGAAAAAAAAAAAAAAAGTCCAGCCCTCTGCCTTTCCAAGCCAGATGTTGTGAGAGTTAAACAACATCTGCTAAGAACATTGTCCACAAATAGCTGGGGAGTGCACACCATTCTGCTGGGGGTTGCAGGAAGTTTGCAATGGAAGGAAGGAAGGAAGAAAAGGAACACTTGCTAGACAATCCCACCAGCCAAGGATTTTCATGGCTATTCTTTTTATCCAATCTTCCAAAAAATGTCTATGGAATAGGTATTCCTGTCCCCCTTTTACAGATGAGGAAATCGAGGCCCAGAGAGGTCACTCCATGATCTGAACCGAGCCTGCCTGACTCTGAGTCCCTCGCTGTTTCCGTCACGCCATGCTGCTGCTCCCCCGTTTCCTGGCCGTACGAAAAGGGAAGGCAAGGCCCCTTGCCTCAAGGAACACAGTACTCAGCCCACGATAAGCACAGGAGGAAAGTCCCCCGAGAAGTGAGCACCTGCACACGACACACACGACGCACAAGGCCTCTCGCCTCCCACAGGGCCTGCCCAGGCTCTGACGCTGCTGGGCACGTGGGCCCCAACCTCTCTCCTTAACGTTTGTTCCTGTCCCTTCCTCCTTCAGAGGCGACCAAACTGCCTCAGTGACCCTGTCTGTCAGTCCACGGTGGATAGATACAAGCCCGACTTTGCAGGAGTGATGGGGGCCACCTGCAGAGGATGCAGAAACAGAGACGATCTTAGCTCCATCCTGACTCTGCCTCCGGCCTCACCTGGGGGAGAGGCGGCACGGGCTCCAAAGGGTAGAGCAAAGAGGCCAGGCCCGAACCGGTCCAGCCTCCTACTGGGTTTGCTCTGGGGTTCCAGACCTTGCGCTTCCTCTGGCGCCTTTGGCCACAGGGAGCAGAGCAAGGCCTGGAAGGGGAGAAGCAGATGGCAGCGGGAGGAGGCCCCTGTGTCCCGACCTCCAGCCCAGGTGTCGTGATGGACGCTGCCTTTGTCTGCCGGCATTCCCTCGGCACGGGGCGACAGCAAGCCACATGGGGCCCCCCCGGCAGAGCCTGACCTCGCTCTGCCCTGTGCAACAGCTCCTCCTGCAGCCGCCTGGCCCCCCACCTCCCACCCAGCACAGCCAGCTGCTTCCTCGACCGTGTGAGGCCGCCCACCCTCGGGACGGGGCCTGAGCTCCCACCGAGCCTCACCTCTCCCCACTGCATCAGGAAACAGACACGCGCTTCCGTGCTGGGTTTCCTGCCTGGGCCTGGGACACGTGCCAGGAGAACTGCCCCAGAGGTACGAGCAGAGTCAAAGCCACCCACCCCAAAATCTTTCAGGTGCCTGGCTTGGAGCTCCCCCACTGCCTGGGGGATACCCCGCCAGGCCCCAAGCCCTCAGCCTGCTGATCTCCAACCTCCTACTTCATGCCAAACCCTGTGCCAGGCACTGTGGGGGGACACAGGGCCATGAGAATGGCTGGAAGCATGTTCTAGGTGTCAAATAAGTGATAAAGACTGTCACTGCCCAGGGCCATCCGAAGAGAGAAATTCCAGGGTTTCCGGAGGAGCTGAGGTTTGAGCTACACAGATGCCAAACATTCACATCTACCAAGTCCATGTCGTATGCCAGGAACTGTGATATACCATGTGTTCTACATGCTGAGGCTCAGAGAGGTTAAACAACTTGCCCAAGGTCACACAGCTAATAAGTCATGAGACAGTGACATGAGAACATGCACCTGAAGCAGCGGGAGAGCAAGCCACGGGGACATCTGGGAGAAACGTGCTCTAGGCAGAGGGAGCAGCCTGTGCAAAGGCCCTGAGGCAAGTGCCGGGTGTGCCTGAGGCACAGGAGGAGGCCGGAAGGGGGGTGCGTGGCGTGGAGTGCTGTGGGAGACGGGGGCAGAGACTCCTTGTAGCCCACCGATTGTGAGTACAGGAGCGCCACGAACGACTCCGTTTCCAAGGAGCATGCCGGCTGCCGGGATGGAGACGTGCCACAGGGGCGAGGGCAGAAGCAGATCAACTGGCGTGAGAAGACAGAGGCAGGGGTGGGGTGTGAGATCTGGCAGATTCTGGGCATGCTGCAAGGCAGGGCTGAGAAGGTTCCCTGCGGCAGAGGACGTGGCTGTGCAAGGAACCGAGTGCAGGCACCTGGGAGGACAGCGTCGCGATCCGCCAGGCCAGGACGGGCTGCAGGCGGGGCTGGCCGAGGGCAGGAGCCGAAGTCAGGGGGCGAGTGGTGCATTCGGCTGCCGCCAGCCACGGAGCGATGGCGGGAGGCGGCTGCAATAGTTCAGCCAGAGTCCAGGCCTGGGGCCGGGCCGAGGCAGAAGCGTGGGGTCACCAGTGTGGAGGGGTCACCAGT